GCCACGAAGAATTGAGGCAGTTCTGAAGGCAAAAGGGGGTCCAACCCGTTACTAGCGTGGTGTACCTAATAAAGTGGCCGGTGAGTGTATGTGGTTTATGCTGGTATTGCAGGTGATCATTAACACAATAAAGTGACATGTGTCCCACAGATGTGTTTGATTATTTCACAGTAGGTGGCTGGTTTGAGAGTAAAAAAACAAAACAATTTGGGATGTTTTTGTTCTGTTTGGGCATTTTGCATACATTACCCAGGGATTGGTATCCTTCCATTTTCTGACATTGTTTGCACTTTTAACGGTTACTTTTTTTCACTGATTTTGAACCCCAAAACGATTCCACAGATTATTCAAAGTGTATTTTTCAAATCCTGTATGAATCGACTTACTGTCATTGTTAGATCCACTCTCCATGGCGCCATAAGGTGGGGCCAACAATCCAGCCAGGCTCTGACGATACTTCTGCAAAGCAACACAAATCAGAGTCAGTGTTTAAACTATTCCCACCTCCGTTATTCAGAAATCCTTATTGTCATCATTTTGAAAGATACTTTGTTTCATTTTTTGTTTTTGCTCCTTTCAGAATGCATAAGCATGAAACATCTGTAACGTGAGTAGAGCGTTCATCAAAGAGTGTTCCTGAGTCTGGAAAATTAGGTTTTAAATGCTTCTGAACRTTCGTCACGGAGCAAAATGGCCGGTAGTATCTAAGCAACAGTCAGAATAGGAGCTGCATGAATTTTCTAAACGTTGTGTGGAAAAAGAGATTCTATGCCTAATTTATTATCTCCTTTAGCGAAGGCAGCACTGGATCATCCATCATGAAACGAAAGGAAATAATTCCATCCCAGAACTCCCTGTGGCAGCTACTTTCAAAGCAGGGATAATTTCACAGTCATTTCAACTGAGATGTATTAAAATAAAAATAAGGACAGGTGTGTGAGCAGACTGTAGAAATATATATATATTTTGCCTTTCTTCCCTCCCTTTCAATTGCAAAAACYAATAATGCTGGAATATTTGATTTCTTACACAAAAACGATACATACGGTATATGACAATCATCATTGGACAGAGTGTTTAAAGCAATTTTTATAGAGAATTTTGCAAAACACCTGCAGTTTAAGTTGCAGCGAAGGTGGGATTTGATTCTCAATGAACTGTGCTTTTTGGGATTAGGTCTTTAGGAAGTTAAAAAGTGTATACAGTTCAGTAGTATTCAGAAAAGCTGTATCTTTAAAGTGGGKGTTTATGTGTTTTCCAGGCACATAGTTCAATTCTATACCACAATCAAGTCACTATGTTACCTTCAGTTGCTATGAAAATGTGGTATATATCGAAATTTAATTCAATTTTGCATCACAACCTATCTAAATTGGCCTCTGTCTCTTTAAGAACCTCCTACCATTTCAGACACTCCCACTTCAGTACATCTTCACAACAATGCTTCAGGGGCAGACTGAGCTGCAGGGAGGAGCTTTGTGTAAATAGGCGGTGCTTTGTACCAGCAAGTGTTTAGGCAGCTCCACTTGGCTACCACAAGAGATTCAAGGATTTCTCAAACATGCATGGATGAGTCAAAGCAACACTCTGGGTAAGTTCTTGGTGAAGGAATGACATTATAACATGATATAAAGCTCAAAAAAGTTGTTTCTGTATAATACCCTCTCTTTTAGACTGAAGCACGTCAACCTGATCTAGTAGGTTTGTGAAACAAGATTAGGAATCCGAGCGTAACACAGGCTCCATAAAACATCAAAAATCTTTAATGTTCTGTTCCTCCCTGAGGCACACGGCGTTACTTGAACCCAGAAACTCAAGTGCCTCTTTAAAACAAAGCCTTTTGTACAACCAAGACCATTTATATGCAGAACAACTTACATTATATAATACACGCACACGCACAAGTAGACCCAGAGCAGCTGTGCTTAAAGGACGATTAATCTGCTCAGTGTGAACAGAAGCTACTTTTACAGATGYTCACGTACTTTTTTTTATTAGCAGAGACACTGAAAGGCACACAGCTAGTAATTTTGAGCCTGAGTGTACCACCGCTCTTCTGCGAAGTCATTATTAAACAGGCCATGCTTTCTGAGGACTGACAGGAACACACACACTGACAGGAACAGAGAGCATCTGTTTGACCTAAAGACACAAACGCTCTCCTGTCTACAAGCACAGGAAGAAAGAAAAACAGAGAGCTACGAAAACATACAAATATTAAATACAAACAATAAAAAAACACCAAACATCTGTGAAAACACAATAAAACTAAATAGCAGTAAATATTTCACTGTTTGCCCAAACGCCCCTTTACAGATGACACTATTACCGCCAAAAGAGCCAGACTCACCTGAGGTACCTCTCTGCTGCCTATTTCTGGGGGGACTAAAGCCCTGAAGAGCTGCCCTCTGCTCCTTTACAACTCACACACACACACACTGGATAGCATCCTGCTCCAAACAAGCTGCTCGCCTCCTTTTCTTTCAGCTTCCGTCTTCCTCCTTTTTTCTCCTCCTTCTTGCACACACAGTTGCCCCCAGTGTCTGTCTCCGTCTCTCACTCACCCTCCCCTCGCCGCGATCAAACCAAGGCCAAAGCACTTTCTCTCACAGGTTACCAGGGTGATCCGGGTCTCTGTAAGACCGAGCCACTCTAGTGGAGGAATAGGTAGAGAGAGAGAGAGAGAAGCAGCGGAGGAAACAGAAGTAGTGAGGGGTGAGGGTGAGGGTGGTGACGGGGAGGAGGGCAGGAGGACCAGAACAAGACTGGCAACAGTGCCGATTGAGTAAAGAGGAAGTGTGGGCAGAGAGGATGTAGGGCTGGTGAATAGGCACAGACGTAAATAACCAAAAAAGAAAAGAAGGAGCAAACAGCCTCACYGTGGAGGCCAACCAATCAGCGGCGACGATAGCAAGACGTGTGTTGATCTGTCCGAATAAGCGAGCTGATTTTCCATTTGCACCCCGTTCACTCATCCCACTTTCTCATCTTGGCGCTGCAATGATGGAGCGGCAGTTCTTTTCTTTCATCCTTTCATCAAACACAGAGCTGCATTCATTTAGTAGCTCTTTAGTCCTCAAAACACACGAGCACCTGAACACAAATTAGTCCACGCACGCTGGAAACACACATTCAACTCAAAGCACCTTTTTTCTCTCTGCCGCCCCCTGAGAGCAGGCCAAGACTCAGAGAACAACCTCAGGCTGGTTTTGTGCTTTGGCCTAAAATAGACAACTTATAGGGAGCCAGAGTGCATTTAGTTGAGAAGCAAACTCACTACAAGTCCAATGAAACAGCAGACATTCTCTAATCACCAATTATTGTCTTATCTTGCTCTTATGTGTCCCTGCGGCATAAAAAAGAGATAGCACGTGATCATGAATCCAATTTACATTCAGCTAGTTAAAACAAACAACAAGGAAAAAAATGAGGAGCCTATTTTTAAATGTCGTATTTGAATGTATTTCATGCTGAAAGCAGCAAAAKGTTCTAAAAAATTATTTAAGCTTCAGAGAATTCATGTAGATAAAGATGTATTCAAAGTTACCCCATGAGCAAGAAGCTTGGACAGAGGAAAATAGTTCTTTCATTACCTAAACAGAAAACACTAAAAAAAACAGCTAACACACAACATGAAAACTACACAAGAGTTTATTTCATATAAACCTGACAGCTTACTTAAATGAAATTGGAGACCAAGCAGAAACCAAACATTCTCCGCACTTGGTTGCAGCCCAGACCAACACAACAATGCACCCTGATGTCAAAAAAAAGTTCAAGAATAGCTTGAAAAATCTCTAGGATCACGTCATGGACTGAAATAATCCCTATGCAATGATGCCCTCGCCCGACAACCTGTATGTTGAAACATCTTTGTCAACATCCAGATACCACAAACGACAGGAACCTGGTGGGTCAGAACCAACCGGCCGGGCAAGAAGAACCTAAATAGTATTGGGAAGGTGGTTCCAAGTGTCAGGGCACTGCAATCGCTAGGGGTGGGCGATAAAAAAATAACAATATATCGCGATAGACGTGACCAATATCAAGAGATAATACATCTGATACAATGTTAGTAATTTTACTGAACTCTGTTGCACTGAGAGGTGTGGTGTAGAAAACAGAAGTCATAATCTTATTAGTGGCTTTACAGCAAACAACGCTGTTTTTTTTTTTTTTTTTTTTTTTTTTTTCAGGCCTCACAGCAGCTCAAAATGGCAGCCCTTCCATCTGTCTCACTACATCCAGCAGTCAACTTATATATACACACCACACACTTTAGACTCCGCCTTCAATACAACTCGGCCAATCACCTCAGCCTTTCAGAGCAGGAACGAAAACAAAGAGTTTGACATTCACAGAGATAATTTAAACACTAACAATTATTCATCTATAATGACATTTCAAACAAACATTTTAAGTATGCAAATGTACAATTTACAAGTCAGTTTACTCATTTAATTACTAAAACTTTCTTCTTACTCTCAACCAATCATACTCCAGCTCTTATCTGCTCTCTTACTGTAAAGGCGCTGGGTTTGAGGCAGGCCTCCTCTTTAGCTGAAACAAGATGGCTGCCACAGAGGACACACCCATGGTAACAAACATTTCATTTGTACATTGACATGTTCACAATTACACACCATACTCTGAAACTAAAACAGAAAGGTTAGAGAAGAACTTGGTGCTTCTTAGCAAACTCTGATCCAGAAACACGTGGCATTCTGGGAGATGTAGGCAGAGGAAAGGCTTTAGCCGCTCAACATCTCACTGCTTCAAAATAAAAAAGAACGACGTGGAATGAAAGGAGAAAATGAGTCTAACAGCTTGAGACAAAATTGTGAATAAAAACAGGAAAGGTCACATCACCAGTGTAGCAGAATTGATCAGCCTTTCTTATCCTGGTCCTTATTTTAAATTGGTAAAACATAAACTAATAATTATCAACATCAACTGATATTAAATGTTGATATCCTGATACATTTTTCACCCATATCGCCCAGCCCTAGTAATGACACATGCATAGTTCTTTTTTATGGAGACTTCTTTTTCACGCCATATTTCAGAGTGGTTTTAAGCAAGACATCATTGTCAACAATTGAAACACTGAAACTGGAGTATACTTTGTGTAAAAGAGGAAAAACTAAAGCAAATTATAACACCTTCAAAAACAGAAATCTTTAGACTTACTGACATAGAATGTTATCAGTAAATGTCACTGAAAACTTAATGCTAGTTGAAATATTCCACAAAAAGGATTTACCAGTCGGACTCCATCAATAGATTCAGTAACCTGAACAACAAAGACCCAGAGAGACCATTGCTGCAATAGTAGGCATAAAGGATTGTGCCAATTAGTCAAAGCTATGTTAGTTGTCATATAATATCATTTATATCTGTATACAACATCAAATTCTTCTAACTGTATTTTTTTGACTTGAGAATGGATTTAATAATTATCTTGTAAATGTTGGCCCAAGTCTTGCAGCAAAAATACCAAAAGTAGATCAAATTCTGACAAAAGACTGGGTTGACATGAACATGATGCTTGTAAAAGATACAATGAATTATGTGACTGAACCGTTTACATATATCTGTAGTTTATCATTTTCAACTGGTTTATTTCCTGATATGAAAGCAGCCAAAATCCCAGAATTTTTTTTAAAAATGGTAAGAAACGTTCAAAAATTACAGACCAATATCCTTGTTACCACGGTTTTCTAAAATTTTAGAGAAATTATTTGTCACCAGATTGGATCAATTTATCGAAAAACATAATATCTTAAGTAGTAGTCAGTATGGGTTTAGAACTAAAAGTTCTACATCAATGGCTCTTATGGAATTTATGGAACAAATGACAACTGCTATCGATCAAAAACAGTACTGTGAGTATTTATGTAGATTTAAAGAAAGCATTCGACAGAGTTGATCACAGTATTCTTCTTGAAAAATTAAGTAAATATGGTTTTAGAGGGTCGGCACTACAATGGGTATCTAGTTATTTGAAAGATAGGAAACAGTTTGTACAAATAAATGGTGTAAGATCTTAACTTGGTAATATCACAGGTGGAGCCCCTCAAGGCTCTGTACTGGGACCTACGTTATTCATTTTATATGTGAATGACTTAGTAAATGTGTCAGGACTTTTCAAATGTGTTTTATTTGCTGATGATACAACATTTTTTTTTTGTTTAGGTAAAGATATAGAAAAAATGTTTGAGATGGTACAGAAAGAATTTGAGAAAATACAAAATTGGTTTCAACAAAACAAATTGTCCTTAAATTTGGATAAAACAAATTACATGATATTTAGTTATAGGAAGACAACTGTTGATTTTTTATTTAAAATAGATGGTATTGAGATCTGTAAAGTTAGTGAGGTGAAATTTCTGGGTGTCATCATTKATGACAAGCTGACATGGAGACCTCACATACATTATTTAAGAACAAAAATATCTAAATCTATTGGAGTACTGTATAAAGTCAGGGAGTTATTCAATGACAAGGCTCTGCTTGTGTTGTAAAATTGTTCCACATTTAATTTACTGTATTGAAGTCTGGGGTAAAGCTTGCAAAACAATTACAAATCCAACTTTTGTTTTGCAGAAAAGAGCCGTAAGAATTATCACAAGAAAAGTTTACAACCATCCATCAAATTCATTGTTTTGCAAACTGAAAATTTTGAAAGTCTATGCTTTTTTTTTCTATGCTTATATTATTTTACTGTTTATGTACAAGGCTCTTAGAAACATATTACCTTCCAACATTCAGGCAAATTTTGTTAAGAGAGACAGTTGTTATTACCTTAAGGGGATGGAAATGTTTGTGAAACTATATTTTCGTACTTGCTTGAAAGAAAGATGTACTTTAATCCAGGGTATAGGATTATGGAATGGTCTGGAAGATGATCTTAAAAATGCCAGATCTATGTATATATTAAAGAGACAGATAAAAGCTAGTTTTCTGAAGGTATATGGAAAAGTAAAATGTGAAGATAAATGAATTGTTGTTTGAGTTGAGTTTTTATTTTTATTTTGTACTGTTTTGTAAATTATGTTTTGTTTGAATATGTTCTGGGGATAAAAGGGGCAGACATTACAAGATTTATTCTTCTTCTGCTACCTTTCATTTTATTTTGATTTTTGATTTGTGTATTTTCTTTTTTTTTTTTTATTGTATAAAGTTTTTTTAATGAAATTAATAAATTTTTTGAATTGAAAATTGAATTGAATTGACTTGGAATCAAATTAAAGCATATCTAGATAGTCTCCACAGAGAAGCTATTTTTCATGACGAAAAACACTCCTTGATTACAAAATATAACCATCAGTCATGCTACAGAAACAACACAGCCATCCGAGCGGATCTCTGTTTTTCAAAGAGCTTGCTGTTGGATTGCTGGAGGTCTGAATTTAATAGGTGGAACAAACATCACCATAATGGTCGGCAGCCCTCTTGTGGATAAAAGCACCACTGCAACAGAGGTTTGCCTGAAAAGCATAGTCTCCAAAACAGGTAATCAGAAGGTCTGAGCTTTTGTTGACTCTTTTATCTACTCCCTTTTATGTCTCACCTCCCAGAGGCTCTTGAACTCCCGCTGTTCAATCCGAAGCAGCTCGCTGGCCTCTCTGCTGACGATGGTAGCGTGACGAGGAGTGTTGTCCAGGATGGACTCTCCGAAGGCTGTTCCGATCCCCAGCGTGCAGATAGTGACAGCATCCTGCACAGACACAAGTGTGGCAAAAGGATTTCAGCTAGGGGTGAACCAATAAATTGGCACCGATTTCCTTAATTTTGGGAGATCAGAGATAAACGATCAGCTTCTCATCTACCTTCACAAAGATCTGAAGGTCAGCCACTGTCCCCTTTTGCTCTGCTGTGAGCACTACCTAATGTCCAGTTAAAACAAGTTTTTATTGTGTAAGAAAATTTGTATTCAATAAACTGAAGTCGAGATGATAAACACAAATGTTAAATAAAATGATTTGTAGGAGGAATGAAACCATACAACACCAGAACTCTGGAATCTGAGTGAGGTTTATTGTCACTGAAGCAGACCAGAAACCCACACTGCCCGAAAAACAGGAAGTCCGTGTATTTATACAGTTTCTTCAATGCCTTCGCTCGCCCCCTGCTGACCTACGGCTGAGTCACAGGCATTCAGACAAAATCCTCAGCTAATGTCATTCAAACGTTTAATTATGTGTTGTAAAAGATGTTTCAGACATGTAACTATACCTATTTCAATCAAAACATAATAAATTAAACACTGTCAACATTACAAAAAGGAGAACTTAAGAACATAGTGTTGTGCTTTTAACATCAGTACTAATCTCCCTAACTCTAAATTTCTTCACGATTATTTCAAGGGCATTGTTCAATGTTTATCAATAAAACAAGATTGGAACATCGAAGGTGTATTGTGACCTCATAACACCTGACAGTGTCAGCTATTTTAAAACATCAGTATTGGACAAAATTGGATCGGTGATCTGCCAGAAAACGGCAATCAGTGCACCCTTAATTTCAACTGCTCTTTTATGTTTTACTGAACAGATCGACTTTATTGTGAAACATCACAGCAACAGAGACGAACAATATTTTCTTAATCAACTAAAGAGCTAAAAATGTGCAAATATGCGATACTATGAACAGATTCCCCTAAAAACAAGCATCTCTGAGTCCTGGACATACAGTATAGTAACTGGACAGACAGGAGACATCCACACACAAACACTGCCTACTGGTTTAGACAGATGTTCTTTGAGCTATAAAAACCTTTTCAGCTGTCCAATCTCACATTTCAAATATAGCCATAAATCTAGGCCACCAGTGACATTTTGTGGCTTCATACATGAAAAGGACAAATCGTAACGGAGGAGCTTTTTATCTCTGTCTTTCACTTTGGACAAACCCTCTGTCCTTCTTCTCCCACATGTCATTCGTCTCCTGTAATATAACCCGTATTTGACACTAAAAGAACAGACAGTGTCTCAAAAAGCACAATCCTCAGAGGATTTGTTTGTCGGAGCTGCGCCAGCTTTGCTCCAGCGTATTTAGGCAGGGAGGCATGAACTGCGGCACAAGAGCAACGTCAGGAGATTTGTACAAGAGCAATGCATGAGGAGGACATGTGGAGACGCCTTGTTTCTGATAGATGATGGACAACAAAAACAGCCCAACAGGGGACAGGAGGAAAAAAAATCCATAATACAATCATTTACATTTAGAATAATCAAAGTAAATAACTGAGTCTAGCTAATTATTTGTTTGGGGTTTAAATGCCTAACAGAAAAGCACTGCATAGCTCCGCACTGACGTGAATATGATTAAAGGAGTCCTACCTGATGATTGGCGGTTTCTGACACTTTGACGTCCAAAGAACCAGACAGGACAGCATACCAGCTGGTGCCTATATCTCCCTGTCGAAACACTGCAGACACAAAACAAGCTTATTTATGCATTTATTCATTTCCTGCCGCTCCCTAATATATAATTAATGCTGCTGTTTAGGGGAAACATTTGCTCAACCGATTTATCTAATTTATTGTTTGTATGTGTAAAGGAAATTCTAATTTCACTGATTTAAAAAGGCATCTGCGTTTATTATTTTTTCGCACTAGCAAAGCCATTTTATTCATTTATTACATAAAACAAATAAATGCTCACTGTTCAAATCAACAGATAAACCATTTGCCTACTGTTAAATAATTGTGTTCTCACATGTGTTTATTAGCTGACTGAACCGAGGAGTTCCAGCTCAGTTTTAGGGCGGTCTATGAAGAATAAATCTGGTCGTGCTAACAAACACCAATCATTCCACAACTGTGCATGTGCAGCAGTGAAATAACACCACTGGAGCAGTTGCAGTTTGCCTCCAGCCAGGTCTGCCACATATGACAACTGCTCGTCAAGATGGACTAAAACGTCGAGCCGCATCACTAAACACATCTCTGCTGAGATTTTTTTATTTCAGAGAGTTCTCAGCTTTGTTTTGAGCCTACAAACTGTGCAGAACAGTGCATTTAAAAAAAACATTATCATGAATATTTTATTTGGTTATATTATATATATTGTTTTACTAAAGTGGGATATTTAATTGGGGATTCCTAAGTAATACATGTGTGTGTTTTATATTACATAAATACATTTCTGTCAAAAGTTTTACAAGAGGTTGTTTCTGATAAAACAACGTTTGCATTTTTATCAAGAAAATGCATCCATTTTCTACAAACTGTATATAACTATACACTCACTGGCCACTTTATTAGGTACACCTGTCCAACTGCTCGTTAACACTTAATTTCTAATCAGCCAATCACATGGCGGCAACTCAGTGCATTTAGGCATGTAGACATGGTCAAGACAATCTCCTGCAGTTCAAACCGAGGCATTTAGGCATGTAGACATGGTCAAGACAATCTCCTGCAGTTCAAACCGAGCATCAGTATGGGGAAGAAAGGTGATTTGAGTGCCTTTGAACGTGGCATGGTTGTTGGTGCCAGAAGGGCTGGTCTGAGTATTTCAGAAACTGCTGATCTACTGGGATTTTCACGCACAACCATCTCTAGGGTTTACAGAGAATGGTCCGAAAAAGAAAAAAACATCCAGTGAGCGGCAGTCCTGTGGGCGGAAATGCCTTGTTGATGCCAGAGGTCAGAGGAGAATGGGCAGACTGGTTCGAGCTGATAGAAAGGCAACAGTGACTCAAATAACCACCCGTTACAACCAAGGTAGGCAGAAGAGCATCTCTGAACACACAACATGTCGAACTTTGAGGCAGATGGGCTTCAGCAGCAGAAGACCACACCGGGTGCCACTCCTTTCAACTAAGAACAGGAAACTGAGGCTACAATTTGCACAAGCTCATCGAAATTGGACAAGAAAAGATTGGAAAAACGTTGCCTGGTCTGATGAGTCTCGATTTCTGCTGCGACATTCGGATGGTAGGGTCAGAATTTGGCGTCAACAACATGAAAGCATGGATCCATCCTGCCTTGTATCAACGGTTCAGGCTGGTGGTGGTGGTGTCATGGTGTGGGGAATCTTTTCTTGGCACTCTTTGGGCCCCTTGGTACCAATTGAGCATAGATGCAACGCCACAGCCTACCTGAGTATTGTTGCTGACCATGTCCATCCCTTTATGACCACAATGTACCCAACATCTGATGGCTACTTTCAGCAGGATAATGCGCCATGTCATAAAGCTGGAATCATCTCAGACTGGTTTCTTGAACATGACAATGAGTTCACTGTACTCAAATGGCCTCCACAGTCACCAGATCTCAATCCAATAGAGCATCTTTGGGATGTGGTGGAACGGGAGATTCGCATCATGGATGTGCAGCCGACAAATCTGCTGCAACTGTGTGATGCCATCATGTCAATATGGACCAAAATCTTTGAGGAATGCTTCCAGCACCTTGTTGAATCTATGTCACGAAGAATTGAGGCAGTTCTGAAGGCAAAAGGGGGTCCAACCCGTTACTAGCGTGGTGTACCTAATAAAGTGGCCGGTGAGTGTAATCTGGTACAATGCATCAAATGGTGACATTCATTTTTTCATTCTTTTTAAATAACGATTAAAAAATGATATTATTAAATAAAAAACTAGACATTTTATAAAGAAAACGTCGTTTTGTGATTATTCATTACTGTCTCAAAGAATAAATCTCTCATTTGAAAGAACTGAATGCTAAGATTGTTGCATCATTATTAAATGATTWCTAAATAATCATTGTAACATCAAATTTAAAGTTAATTTGTAACTTTTAATTTTAGTTTTGAGTAGAACTTACAAGTTAACTAATGATGCAAGTGTTCGATGTGATCATGTCATTGCTGTTTTTTTGTTTCTCAATGAATCCCACTTCAAACATTGTCAAAGAGCAGCAGGACTGTCACAGAAGTTTGGTTTATATATTGTGTGCTTTCTTTAATGGTTAGAATGGCAGGAAGGCAAGCGTTATGTTTTCGGATAGAAATACATACGTGTGATGCCCTTCTCCAGACATTCATAGAAGGAGCAGGCACAGATCTGTAGTAGGAGTGGGGGTGGAAATCTCTGGAAGGTTTTGACTTCTCTCAGTCTGGTCAGAATAATGTCCACATCTTCCCCTGAGCGCTCTGATGGCCTGCAGAATGGTAAAGTCAAAAAACAGTCTGTGTTGTAAAAATGCATTTCATCTCGAAACCAAAGCCTTTCCAGTATGGTTTGATTGGCTATAAGCCAATAAGAAATAAATGCTTTTAGCAGTCAATGACCTAAAACAGTCAAATAAATCTATAGAACTGTCCTTTAAGGGGGGAAAAAAGCAGCTTTGTATTTATTGTGTTATCTTCTTGTGTGTGTGTGTGTGTGTGTGTGTGTGCGTGTATGCATGTGTGTGTGTGTCATTGTTCTGCCTAGTGTCTCAGCGATAAAAGAGGAGAACTGTGAGCGCCATTTTTCTCCGCATGAGCCCCCCCACTGAGTGTTGATGTAAGATCTTGTACTGGCGCTCTTTCTAATGCGCTTCTAATCTCACTGAGCGGCACCCACAATTAAGTTGTTGGAAATCTACGAGATGCGCACAGACACGAGAGAACACACACAAAGAGAAGTGAGATGTGACAGATTAAACCGTCTGCTCGGAAAACGTGGCAGAGAAACACTACGGCGCTGAGACGTCTCACAGGAATACACACTGCAGTTAGAAGTGCTCATTCACTTATTTTCTCTCTTTTTTTGCTAGTGACTCATTCTCTCATTTAAGTGTGTGTGTGTGTGTGTGTGTGTTTTATACAGAAAAGCTAATGCACTGAGAGCTGCTTCCTTCACAGATGAGAGCATGCCTATCCCCTCTCTTCTTTCAGCTCTTTCTCTCGCCCCCCAGCGCTCATCGTCTTTGTCTGCAACATACAATATATCTCTGTCCTCCATCTATTTGTCTCTGCCCCTTAATACTTGTGCGTTTTTTTTTCATAGCATGACACGACCGGATAAGACAAACTCCTCTTAATGAAATTTGCTTCTTTCAGTTACTGCCATGGATTCCTTCTTTTTATTAGGTGTCACCAATCTCATAATAACCTCTTCACTGTCTGATTAATAAAGGCACAAATACTCCTATTCGTCTCTAGTAGGTCTATAAATACAGTATACCCTGCAGTATATCTGTGTCCCGAGGCAATTTATTCTTCTCTGTACCTGCCTGACAGCAAAACATCTGCCCAATTACAGATGGAACCCCCACCCCCATTTCTACACTGTTTTTAGTCTCTGACTCATCATCCACCACCTGCCTGCACACCAGCCTCTGGTGCTCAGACGGAGCCTCGTGGGTTAATGGTTCAGAGAGGAGACTCCTACACACTTCAACAGGAAAAAGACAAGAATTAGCCCCATCCATTCACTTGTTTTTATTAAAACTACTCTTTTTGTTTTGATCYCCTGGTTAAAAACCCTCACTCTATTTTCTGTATCTGCTGGTCCAGAGAAATCTGTGTCCCTCATGGTGTGATATGAATGTGACCTGAGAGGTGTTTRCCTTGCATCAACCCACCATTCTTCCATCCTTCTTTTCTCTCTYCCTCTCTCTATTTGGAACATCTCTTTTCTCGGCACCCCCACCCCAATGCTAATGTCAGCAGAGATCTCAGCTTTCAACAACAAATCACAGCAACCTACACACACACATACACACAAAGGATTTACAGACCGACCAGCACAGAAAAATCGCTGAGTGACACCAGAAGGTTCTGCAGTCTGTTTTGGGGGGAAATCCATCTGGTAAAATGGTACTGTTTCCAGATAAATAACTCATAGGTTGACTGGTGTCAGTTTCATAATATTCATTGCACAGGCAGATTAATACAACAACAACAGAAGCTCTTTTTTTGTGTGTGAAAGAAGCTACTTAAGGCACCCATCATCATCGCCGGAAACAACCTGAGATCCTGCTAAAAACACTGAATTTTAATCAGCAAAAGCACAGCRCAGTTTTCAATCTAACCAGCTGTGGTGACAAAGTAAACATTAAAGATACTTATGGCAAACTATGAAATCAAACACAAATTAAAAAAATTTATATGAAATTATATCAAACGATGCAGTTTGAAAGAGTTTTCTAAAATGCAGGTACGCACTAAATGTAAATAAAACACTCAGAAGCCTGAGTCACACAGTGAACCTACAGCCTGTAGTCTGTCTCGGTAAACAAATATGCTGGAATCAGACAAGAGCAGGATCTCAGGGAAGACGTTAAGGTAGTAACGTAAAAGTGAATCTGCTGCTAAACACAAAAAGAAAAGAAAAAAATCGAGTAAGACGTCCGTCATGACGTAATCTTGGGGATCATACAGGACTGTGAAGCACCATAAAGACAGAGCTCTGCGTTCAAGCTCACGCTGCGTCTGCAAAACTACTTCTAGATAGGGCTGTKTATTGGCAAGAATTTGGCGATACGATACATATCATGACAGAGGGGTCACGATACGATATATCCTGATATATTGCGATACTATATACAAGGCGATATATCGCGATTTTTTTGTCCAAAAGTTCTATTAAATAAAAACCTCTTACTGGAAAAAAATTGAAAAACCAAAATTCATTGTCTCAGATAATTCTAATATTACAGAGACATGCTTTTGATACATTTAGCTGTGTTCTGCTTTATACAGTATGTGTTTTATTTTATTTGTTTCATATTTTTTATTTCATCCATGTTTTCAATTATTAGACTAAATTTGACAATAAATAGTTTGAAAATATATATTTTGCAGCTTTTAGTTTTTAATATTAATTTACAAAATGGTCACCCAACACTTAACAATAGCCTCTACCTCAAGAGGTAGAGGAGCCAAATGGCTGGCTCACTGCTGCTGACTAGTGGCCAGAGGCTGAACTACAACATAAAAATGAACGGCTGGCAGGAAAGTTGACGTTTTAAACCTTAATAAAAAATCGATACAGGGCTTTAGAATAHYGATACAGTATCGGGAAATGAAATATCGCGATATTTCAGTGTATCGATATTTTCTTACACCCCTACTTCTAGAGTAATGATAAGTTTACTGTTTCAACCTAACATGTCTGTTTATTTGTATATTTTACTCAACAAAGCAGCTGCCGGGTCTTCACAAATTTTGCTTACAAGTTTTAATTTTAAGGACATGTCAGTCATGAAAAATGGGGGAGAAATTGTGTGGATTTTGTTTCTTATTTTATGAGGGGCTTTTTTTCTCCTTTGACATTGAAATTAGTACATTTAAAGTGGACATCATGCTTTTAAAWCCTTCTTTTTCCCCTTTAAATCACTCAGTTGGGGTATTTTTGTTACAACAAAAAGAGACCCCATCTTATTCCTGAGACCGATGCAGAGACCGATGTCTACAGACCCCAAGCTAGGACTATGAGTTACAACAACATCTAATTTCCCTCTGGGATCAATAAAGTATTTTTGAATTGAATTAAATTAAAGCTATAAAGTGGAACTGAAATGCTTTGGTCTGAATTCCTCCTTATTGCAACTCCACAAGCCCCTAATTCACCCCTGTTCTGAGGTGTGTCTCGAAGTAACTCATTTTGAGGCTGTCTCTTTAAATCCAACAAGATAGAACTTGACACGAACCGTCGGTGATGTCCCTCATCATGGACTGGTGGACRGATGGACGGACAGATGGACGGACGAACAAAGAATATTTCTATGTCCCCTTCTTCGGGGACGGGGGACAAATAGGCGCTTCACATCCCGGTCCCTTCCAGCTTCCAGACTGGTCCACTCCACTTTGAGAGAGGGGATTACTACTGTCTTGCGGCGTAGGTTTTTTTTTATGTACAAATCAATTAAAAGTTGTCAACAATATAAGACATGTCCATCCAGCCTCACATGTTGGAGCCGGAGTCTGACCCAGAGCCAGAGGAGAACGACGACGAGGAAACTGTTGGTACCTTATTAAAAGTTCCATCACAAAAACATTGACAGAACAGTTCAGAAGAGGTAATGGAAAATAGAGAAAACTGAATGGGTTGAAAAATATGACCAAAAACGTAAAAATATGTCTACATAGTACTGGGAGAGACTAAAATCACTTTTTMTGCATTCCTAGAGRCCCCAAGTACACAACAAAATGTATTTAACAGCTAAAAAACTGAATTTTACATGATGCGTCTTCTTTAAAATGAATATATACTAAAGTAAACATTTAGAAATCACTAAAACAATTTGAAAATATTTGCAAATTTAGTTACTTAATAGACTGTTTGACAATACAAGTTGCTTATTATCTGATATAAAATACATTTTTTTAAAATAAGCTCATTTGGAAAACATTTGCTGATTTACCATCTCATTTTTACATATTTAAACTACCCTCTGTAATTTATGGTTGTATTTTATTTATTTTATTTTTTGATTAAGGATGCATTAAATTTAAACTTTCATCTGACCCATCCTGTGTGTGTGTGTTAGTGTGTGTGAGTGTGTGGGCTATCGTCTATCAAGAGCCAAGGAAATCTGATCTTATCTTGCTTGAATCACTGGAACCCTACGCAAAAGTGTTTAGAAAGTCACAAGAAAGACAATCACATCCCAAACTTTTTGCTCATGTCACGTCCACTCATCAACCACTCTTCTTCACATCAGCAGTTACTAACTTCGATGAAAGCTCTATCAACACACACACACAGGCTCAACGCTCTTGTGGACATTGATTGAATAAGAGGTAGATAGTTAAGGAGCGCTGAGTGCTCCACAACAACATCCTGTCCCGTCCGGCCCGGCTGCATCGACTCCCACCTTCCACTGCAGAGTGGCTGCATTTAGCTCCAGATGGGCACTGCACCAMTATATTTTAATGTTGGACTGATACGCAAAACACAGTTCGTTTTAAAAGGAACTAGGCCAGAAGTGTAACGATTTTAGCTTCCTGATTGTCAATTAAGAAAACAAATGTTTGCATTTTGAACTGCAGGTTAAACAAAATAAGCACATGTGAAGATTCTGTCTCAAATTTTCCTAAACTAATAAGCCTTTCTCACCATCTAAAATAAGCAATTACTTAGAATAATCAAGGACGGAAGTAATGGTTGATTGTAGGCTCATATCTAAATACTGCTATATTTAATGTGACTAAAAGTATCAGCGCAGCACATCATGCCTCCGGTCTCATTCCAGATGTGGATGAGAGGACAAGATGGTAGCTTCCGGTTGCCAATAGTAACGCAATGATGTGTCAGAGAGATGTGCACAATATGTGTGGGTGTCTGAACTATGGGGTGCATGTCTTATAGACCATTCTTTGGCCATCATTTGCAGTAATTACCACCACCCCCCCAACCCCAAAAGCTCCAGTTTTTAAATGTCATTAAATCTTTATAGACTAAATTTTTTTAGAGGATTAATTCAAGACCAGATTTGTCCCAGTGGAAATTCTGTTAGGCTATTTTTTTTTCTCCAGTCATAGACAGTCTGGCAYGCAGCAATGTCACAAAGCCTGAAATAAAACTGAAAAACAAAAACAAWGCCTCTTTCATTTTTATTCAGGAAATCATTAGCACACGTGCCGCGGTTGTATTTTAATTATGCATGGCTTTTAGATCTGCAGATAAACCATGTGGGTCACATCCATCAGTGCAGGAAGCCCACTGAACCTGGAGGCCACCAACGCCTTTTTTGACCGAAGACAAAAAAACAAACAAACAAACAAAAAATAAATAAAGGTCAATAACTGCTGTGACAGAAATTTCACATGATGGAAAAACATCATCCCGCCTCACGCACGCGTCACGCGCGGCGACCGCCGGTTCGGAATAGATCGACACAAGCGAATGAATGAAAACGAGCACGAGGAGGGGATGCGGCGGCGCGTGGCCGACCGTCACCCACCTTTTATCCAGGCAGCAGATCCACTCCGCCGGCGGGGACGATGAGAGGGACGCCCGCACTGCGACCATGGTCCCCGGCTGCGTGAGGCTGTGATGCTGCCGGGAGGAGGCTCGGGCTTCCCGGTTGTCGGTGGTCGTTAATGAACGTGAGCTCCGGCTGCGCCCTCTTCCTCCCCCCTCCTCCTCCACCTCCTCTCCGTCACACCACCACAGGCTGCTGCCTTCATCCTGTGCTGCACATGCAACATAGTATCAGCTTGCCTTAGAGGCTTTTTAGGGCAAAAATGCTGTAATAACATGCAAAGCATGCCCTAGGGATTATTCAAATGTACATATGTTACCAACTTTAGTAAATATAGTTAGACATGCACTGTAGAGCATATAAGCAGCCTTAATTATAGTCTAAAGAGATGTTTGGGAAATATCACAGTCAATAATGTTCAAAAATCTATATTTAATCAGTCAGTCTTCAGATGAYCAGTGATCAGTGGCATGCACAGAAACGCAAAATACTGCTGGTTAATTCTGTCATCAACAGGTACAAACAAGCCCTTCCAGTAAAAATAAAAATTAAGAGGAAAAAAAGGGAATGAATGAGSGGCTATTAGCAAAACATAGTACAACTGGGTTCATCAGAATTTAAACAATCTGATCTGTCTTCCACAAATCACAAACTGAACCCATGTTTGTGAGTCTTTAGCTCCCTATGTCATAAGTCAGGTGGTGTTTGTGTTATTTAGTGAATTACATCAATCAGCATAACATCCTGAAACCATACTCTGGGCCGTGCTTTTCTTCTCTGTGGTCCTAGCGTTTGAAACAGTAGAACTCTGGAAAGGGTCAAATTCTCTTTTAGGTATAAATGCATTAAGAAAAGTTTATGAAACCATTTGGTTTCCTCCTATAAAGATGCAACTTGTGTAAAATGGTAACAGATAGGGCRATGCCATCATTGCTAATGCGTCACCCTTTGGTCGGTTTACAGTATATCTAAAATTAACATAGTGCCACTTTAGCTGTGGGCATGCAGCAGCTGAAAACAAGAAGGCTGTAGAACAGCAGAGCCACATTTTCGGTCATGCAAACATCATTAAAACAAACTTCCAAAAAACACATAGAAAATACAGATTACTTGAATCAGTCAATCAATCTTTCAACATTAAATCTTTTTGCAGAAACAGAACAAATGATATCCTGCAGAATGGTGGTAATGCAACCGCCCGATAACTCAGCAGAAAAATAAAAACATGTTTTATTTATTTTAAGAACCAGAGAGAGGATACTAAACTAGCAGGATATTAAAGAGTGCAGGGGGTGGGGTGGGGGATGGTGGTCTGCATGTAAGGTCAGGAGACTGGATGAGGACATGAATTGATTTTAACATGATGAGTGAGACATGAAACAGTGGAGGACAGCTACTGCTGCATCACAAACTCCCCTGACTTTGACCTCCTTTTTCTCTCCACATCTGGCAAACTGACAACACTGAGGCTATTATTCTATGCATCAGGTGAACTACAATGTGTGAATGTGTGCACCTGTTACAGAGGTGTGTGTATGTGTGTGTGTGTGTGCAGGGGGCTGTTTACAGCTGCCTTATTGCATTTGTTTGAAAAGGCACTTCAGCATGAATGACCATAAAACTGGAGGGTGATTGAGCAAGTTTTCCAGGTGACTCTTATTACAGAAGTCTTGTCGTTAGTGTATTATTTAAAAAATGTAAACGAGTTACCCTGAAGGTTCACTCCAAATATAGAAAATTAAATTGTTGAATATTATGTTCAAACATTTGTGTAGTAAATTCAAAAGAAAAAATTATTTTCTATAAAGATTTGATTTTAAATAAAAATGAAAATCTATGCCAGTTAGCCACACAGGGTGTTTATCTTTGATGCTGTTGACACACATGCAGTTTGCTCATCTAAACACAAAGTGGCAGTATCACCGTCCTCGTGAAGTTTTTTTATCAGGGTCAGAGCCGTACAAAATAAAAAAATGCCACTTCAAGCACAAATCAAAGTTATTCACAACTACATTTGAACCCTCGCTGAAGAGGGGCAGAACTACTCATCTGAAGTGTGAACTGAACCGTGGGTCAGCAGACTGAATCTAAACCTCCTGTGAATGCAGGAATTCCTAAACATAGATGATTACAGACTATAACTGTATGGAGCTTTACCATTAGCTTTTTTCTGTAACTCCTATTGGCTAATATTTTGTCTGACAAGTGATGTATAACAGGGTGAACATTTTTTGTGCTTTTTTATTGTTTTTTATAGTTGTATATATGTAGGTAGATGTGTATATATATATATATATATATATACAGTATATATATATATATATGTATATATATATTCCCATAGCATTTAGGCGTTGAAGTGGCAATAAATCATATTTTAAAACAGCATGGGGTTTATGAGGGGGTCCCTGGAATTTTTTTCGCCCTTGTAAGGGGTCCCCAGACCCAAATGGCTTGAGAACCCCTGTTCTATTCTATTCTAAATGATGAAAAGAGTAGATTCGTGTTATGAATACCCTCTGGTGGTAGAACTAGAGAATAGCAACACTTATACTGTCCTGCTTGTATCAACATTTCTCTTTTTGCTTTAAAAACATGAACATACTTTGTGCAGACTTTATGTGGCAATCAGCTAAACATGAGACAAAGAAAATTAGGCTTGAGTTTTATGCTCACATTTAATTTTGATGTGGCCAGAGCAACAAAGACCACCCAAATAGAACTAATCGATTTATTGTTGATGAGCTTGTCCRTTTTCTGGCTTTGAGGAGAGGCACGGATAGTTAAACATTTGTTCATCAAAAAAAGGCTTTATGTCGAGCTTCAACCATGAAAAAAAACTACTCAATTAAGTTCAAAAATTAAAAAACTGGACAAGGACAGGTTCTCTGTAAGTGGGGTGTGAACAAAAAACATAAACCTGAGGAAGGAGGAACAGATTTTTCAAGTCAACGTCACCTGTTGCTGGTGACGTGTTCAAAGTTGAGAGTTACAGCGGGTAAAATAAGTATTGAACACGTCAACATTTTTCTCAGTAAATATATTACTAGAGGTGCTAATGACATGAAATTTTCACCAGATGTCGGTAACAACCCAAGTGATCCATACATACAAAGAAATCAAACCATAAATGTCCAGAAATGAAGTTATTTGTAATAATGTGGAATGGCACAGGGGAAAAGTATTGAACACGTGAAGAAAGGGAGGTGTAAAAAGGCATGGAAAGCCAAGACACCAGCTGAACTCTCTCAGTAATTAGAAAGCAAGCCTGCCCCTTGTCAGTGCAARTTAATATCAGCTGGTTCAGTCCCAAATGATGGCCAGGTATCGCACAAGAACCATCTGATGATGGGTAAAAGTAAAGAGCTCTCTCAAGACCTTCACAACCTTATTGTTGCAAAGCATAATGATGGCATCGGTTACAGAAGAATGTCTAAACTTCTGAAGGTTCCAGTGAGCACTGTTGGGGCCATAATTCAGAAGTGGAAAGAACATTATTTCACCATAAACCGACCACGACCAGGTGCTCCTCACAAGATTTCTGACAGAGGAGTGAAAAGAATTATCAGAAGAGTTGTCCAAGAGCCAAGGACCACTTGTGGAGAGCTTCAGAAAGACCTGGAATTAGCAGGTACGATTGTTTCAAAGAAAACAATAAGTAATGCACTGAACCACCATGGCCTGTATGCACGCTCACCAYGCAAGACTCCACTGCTGAAGAAACAGCATGTTGAAGCTCCTTTAAAGTTTGCTGCACAACATTTAAACAAGCCTGTGTAATACTGGGAGAATATAGTCTGGTCAGATGAGACCAACATTGAACTGTTTGGATGCCAGAATACACATCATGTTTGGAGGTCAAATGGCACTGCACATCAGCCCAAAAACACCATACCAACAGTGAAGTTTGGAGGTGGGAACATCATGGTGTGGGGCTGTTTTTCAGCATATGGTACTGGCAAACTTCAAATAATTGAAGGAAGGATGAGTGGAAAAATGTACAGAGACATTCTTGATAAAAATCTGCTTCCATCTACCAGGATGATGAAGATGAAACGTGGCTGGACATTTCAGCAAGACAATGAGCCCAAACACAAAGCCAAGGAAACTCTCAGTTGGTTTCAGAGAAAGAAACTAAAGCTGCTGGAATGGCCCAGCCAATCACCTGACCTGAATCCAACAGAAAATCTATGGAAAGAACTAAAGATCAGAGTTCATAGAAGAGGTCCACGAAACCTTCAAGATTTGAAGACTGTTTGTGGAAGAATGGGCCAAAATCACACCTGAGCAATGCATGCCACTAGTTTCTCCATACAGGAGGCGTCTTGAAGCTGTCATTGACAACAAAAGCTTTTGTACAAAGTATTAGATAAATTTCAGTAAGTGTGTTCAATACTTTTTCCCTGTGCCATTCCACATTACTTCATTTCTGGACATCTATGGTTTGATTTCTTTGTATGTATGGATCACTTGGGTTGTTACCAACCTCTGGTGAAAATTTCATGTCATTAGCACCTCTAGTAATATATTTACTGAGAAAAATGGTGACGTGTTCAATACTTATTTTACCCCCTATGCCAAGAAAGCTTTTTCTTTTTCTCCCTTCATTTATCATAAATAGTGATTTCAACATCAAAACCCGTGTTTGTTAGTTTTACCTGTGCCGTTCCAGTTTCCTCTTTTTCTCTTTCTGGCTTTTTAGGTTAAAGTTCTACCCTCATTCTTCGTTTTCTGCCACCCCGCCTCACTTTTCTGATACTATACCTCTCTAATTTTACTTTGCCACCCCACCTCAACAATATCCCCTCAATTTCCAGCTCCGCTTTAATTCACTGTCCCTCCTTCCCTTCCCCTCTAGGTTAGCCTCATTCAGTCRGAGGCTTTTGTGATTGGCCAGTATTTATATCAAGTAGGTCCCTGTGCCGCATGGGACAATGGTCTCCAGTCAGATCCAGGTCACATCAAGCAGAACTGTTCCCTGCACCGATCAGTCCCGTCCAGTGGAGTCCAGTCCAGAATGTCTCATCAGTAGCACAGCATGGCTCCAACAGAGACAGACAGGTATAATGCACTGTCTCACCCACACACAGCTCACACTCACACACAGGTAGGCAGACACACAGACCAGCAGGTGCAGCATCACTGCCACACACACACACACACACACACACACACACACACAGGTGGATAGTGGGAGATGTAGCTCACTCTTACCTGGATGATGAACACAAGTTATATTCCCACAAAACTTGCCTCTCAAAGATGCTCTGTTAGTGATTGTACAAACAAAGACAGGCAAAGGTAAGTGGATTTTTTTCATAGTTTCAAATTCTGCTATGCAACTGAACTTGGCAACACTCTGCAGATACAGTGTTGTAAAAATAGTTTAATTTGCACAAGATTAGCTTCACAAGAATTATTAAAACTGTCATTTTTAGGACCGTGACAGACTGCAGTCATGACTAAAATAAGACTCCTTTTATGTACCAGGGGACAGATATTATTAGCTGGTCAAATGTAGGCTAACATGTCTCAGCGTTGGTAGCCACTCAGCTCCAGTGTTTCACAGTTACTGGAGTAGTTTACACAGGATTACTAGGGGATAATCCATTTACAGTATTTAGAGACATTATTCGCCATCTGCCTTGTATTTATCTCAGCGAGGGAGCTGTTATTACCAGCGACCGACCCACTGAGAGCAAACAGCCCCGTAATGTCAAGAAGGAACTGTCGCGGGAAAATAGTAAGAACATTTCTCATTTCTTTAAAAAAAAAATAGTAGGTATACTTATTCCTCTGCTAAATCGTTGCGCGCGCACTTCTTCGAGGCAGGCAGGCTGGACACTGTAGAGGTGTGCAGCATTCAGGTGCAGTCGTAAAATTTAGWTTTTCCTGCCATGTATTAGTTTTGTGTGCATGAAAATGTCACAAGTAAATGAGCATAACATTGACACGTAGCCTATAAATTATTTAAAAAAAACGTAATTTTTTTTGTGGACTTTTAAAGTAAGCAAGGGGAAATGTAATGAGCCATGTCTTTGTATTAAGGTTAAGTTCATTTTACTAATTAACTTAGCAAGTTGAGTAGGCAACAACTTATTGTCTAATKCTAGCTTTGGATTTTTGTTTGACACGTAAAGTCTAAGGCTTAACAACAGAGTTAAAAGGTGAATTGAATGTCAACAAACAAGAGAGGCGTTAAARCGCATTTGCTCGTTTTCTCGAGTGCCAATTTTTACGGATGTACGTGAACGCACAGGACAAGGTGATTGTGAATACCTGAGAAGTAGCTTCGTTCCCACTGCAGCCCCTACCAGCTACGTTTGGGCTTTTATTCGTCGTTTCTGCCTGTTGGACACCTTCCATTTGCACCGGTTTGAGTCCTGGAGGCATTTATCTTTACTTTTGGCAGCAAGTGAGTTGATGTAATAGTTTTACTCGGCTTTAACACACATGGGAGATTTCCTGGGCTACATTCAACGCGAACAAGAGGAACAACTCAATTAATGTGACATGAATCTAATTAAGTGCAAAAGTTGTTAAACTTTATAGTTTTCTTGAGTTTAATGTGCTTTTTGGGATATTGGCCTGTTTATTGTTTAACTTGTAACAATTAACCAGTTCAYCTGATGATGTAGGCATCTTCCTTTTTTCCTAATTTTGTCTTTCAGATWTAAAGAGATGGTGATTAGAAGAATCTAAGGATGTTTGAACCTTGAGCTTGTCTTTGCTGCCTAAAGCTATTTTATTCAAGACTAAAAAGTTTTTTTTTATAAAGCATTTCTTGCCTTAATGCAACCACTGTACCAGCAGATCCTCAGACATTGTCTGCCTTTTCAACTTTTGTCCAGGTGTTTTCCTTTAGCAGTGAATAACCTCTTTCCCTGCTTCTCAGAGATTTTTAAAAAAACTTAATTCTAAGATGATGCGGCCAGACAACAAAGGTCGAAGTGCCTCTCCTCACAGGATAACATACAAATCTGACTTTCATGCCATCAAATGCTCTTTTGACACTGGGGTTAGTCTAGAGSCAAGGAGCAAAGCATCCACAGTGCATCCAAACATGCTTCTATCCAACTTGACTGATTCCATAGTGTCCAGCACCAGTGGCAGTCGGGGTCGAATTCAAAGCGCCAGAGGGGCCAAACTCCGAGAGAACATTTTCCTTCAAATGGACTGTCAACAGCCAAGGCGAGGTGGTGTTCCAGCCCTGAGTTCTTGCTCAACACCTTTCCTTCCTCCTCCAAATCCTAGCTTCCAGCTCTACAGTTCCCCTTTCTCCAGATCCAGACACACACTTGTCAGCTCTTCTTCYGTCATGAGCAGTGTGACCAACATTTCTTCCTCAGAAACACCACTGCGAGGCAAATCTTCCAGAGCGGAGGAAATGGGAGAACTTGATAGAGTCGCTCTGGCTCAGAGGTTTTCTGTTGCCCGAAAGTTGTTTGAGACCAAGATGATGGAGGGTGGAAGCAGTAGCGGGCAGGTTTTAAGACCTCTGATTGGCAGGGGAAATGTGGAGGGTACAGATGGGACGAGAGAGAAGGAGCAGGGGTCAAGTGGGAACGTGAGGTGCGTAGAAGATGAGTCTGATAAGAATAAAACCGTAAACCACATTTTAAATGTTTCCAAACCCAAGTCTTGTTTAGCGGCGGCGCCAGCAAGGTACTCTAAATCTTCTGCACCAAACGGCCCCGGAGAAGTTCATGACAGATGTGATCAAACCACAGATKTACTAACTGAGGTCGAGAGGAGAGACGAAGCAACGCCTGACTCCTGCTCGACCCCTGAGCGAACGCTGAGGGCAGAACTCGTCGATGTTGAGAACGAGTCTTCGGAGAGCGACGAGAACGAGGAAGAGAGGGTGTGGACAGAGGTGGACACACGGTGGACAAAGAGTCCGGACAGAGCCGAAGGAAGACGCCTGGTGGCTGAGTTAGATGATGTCTTTGAGGAGACACTGAGGCTTCTGAAGAGTGTGGAGCTCAGAACAGGAGAAAGCAGTTCGGTCGCTTCKACAGACGACTTGCAAAGAAACCGACTCACTGAGGATGGAGGAGAAGGAAGAGGAGACAAGTATGAGCAGGTTAACAAAGAATGGGAGGGTAAGAGGGAGGAGCAGAGCAGACACCTTACTGCACAAGATGAGTTAATGGAAGGAGACGACATGGAGAAAAAGACACAGTCTGGATTGGGAGAAGGTGTTAAGCTAGACGGGATCCTGAGCAGAGAGGTCAACACTAACAAGGATGTGGAAGGAAAGGTAAAAAGGGAAGGTGGAGACAATGAGGCAAGGCAAGAAGGTGAGAAAATGATGGGAAAAGGAACACCAGAGAACACCACCGAGGAGCTGAAACATGTGGCATGCAGAGGAAGTGGTGAGAGAAAGGATTATTCTTCAGAAGGTAAAGAGGACCAAACGGTAATCTCTGGGATTGAGAACAAATCTTTTGTGTACGGGTCCCACCCAGAGCTTTCAGGACCATTAAGACAGAAGGAGGAAAGCTCCCCGCAGAGAGATGAGCAACTGTTAGTGGAATACGAGGAAATTCCTGGTCTGCCTGAGCTGGGGGGTCACGATGAAGAAGAATCCAAGGCTGGGAGGAGGAAGGTCAGGTTCTCCACAGCACCAATCAAGGTAGGGTGATTAAAAATCATATACACTTTGAATTATTCTTCACATTTCTCATAAAAATATTGGTTTTATTTTATTTATTTTTTTTTGTGAAAAAGCACTTTGGTGGTATGTTTGTGGAGCTGTCAGTTCCAGCAGCTGTCTCTTTTCCAGAAAAAAAAACTTAGCCCAAAGCCATGTTTTTAATCTGTTAAAGAAGAAAAATGGATCTGCATGCCTCGCTCTGTCAGCACCAAGCTCAAAGCTGCCTTTACTTGAAAGACAGCTCTGAGCTGAGTATGAAATCAACCATAAAAAGGGAACTACGGCAAATGATGCTATTTGATAGATTGATATGTAATTTTAAGACATGGATATGCAAAGTACTGTTAAGTACTGTTATCTGTGTATTTTATTCAAATCTGCACTTAAATGGTTATAAATTAATCAACATTGTCARATTTCTCCATCCCAAATGGTTCTATTTATTCTTTGTTAACCAATTTTCAGTCACTTCAACTGTTTTTGTAGGTAAACAAACAAATGTAACGACTGGCAGCTTTTCATAAATTTGGCTTGCAAGTTTTCTGTTTAAGAATGCAATCATTGATATGAGGAAACAAATGTTCTATTGTTTTCTTGTTTTTTAATAGGTTGTTTATTAAAGACCATGAACAATAATATCCTGGATCTTAGCTACAAAAGCAAACTAAAGTAGAAGCAGTCCTTGTAGTATCGGCTAGTTTTTGTGGAAGTCGTGTGAGGTCGCTTGAGATTTTTAGCAGTCCTATAATTTGGAGCATATGTTCTGCACAAGACGCCGAGTCTGTCGTMTCTTGCCACCATCACTGACAGATTTTCAGGCATAAACAGTGTCTTGTGGTGTCAGTAGCTGCAGATGGTTCATTTTACAGTTGGCTCATTTATTAAATAATTCATAGAACAGGCGGTTTTTAGCAGTCCCGTTTTTATTAGTTGATCTAATCTGAGGCCGCTATAGAATATTTTTAACTGGCCATTTWACATGTATTTCAGGTGTACAGCATGCATTCCAACTCAGAGTACAACAGAACCAATGAGGATGTCGACCCAGTGTCTGCTTCTGCTGAGTTTGAGCTGGAAAAGAGAGTGGAAAAAATGGACGTTTTTCCAGTGGAGATAGAAAAAGGTTTGGATCTGCACATATTTGACTTATTTGTTGTCCACTGGTGAATGCAAGATTTGGTTTTGTTTTGCAAAATTGTGCTTTTTATTAGCAAAATATCTTAAAATCCACTGGATGAATCTTATTGAAACTTTCAGAAGGTAATCACTGCGGGGACGAGGGGTTAGAATTTTTAAAGTCAGCCCTATCCAAGATGGCTGCCTCAAAAAGCCAAAAATAGCCATAAATGAGCCAGGTTTACAGATATTAACCTACAATTTTRTGTGGTAGCTGTTGAATATCTCCAACACATTTTGAAATTTGTTTCAAACTTTGGGCAGAAAGTGTTTGTGTCAACTCTGTCTGCTTTTTAAGCAATATATCTCATGAACAAGTAAAGAAAGTAATCAATCGTTGTACAGCTCTAACTCAAAGATTAGAGTCAACCCTTTTCAAGATGGCCACCAAAGTGAACTGACTTCAGCCAACATAAACATGGCTCTACTTCAAGCATGAACAGATCATGTGAGATTATTCATTAAATGACATCCAGTGCAATGTCATTTACAAAGTTTGMTTAAAACAGCTAAAACTCTGTTCCCAGTTATTATAAGGTCTCAGTTTTAAACTGACCTGAAACTTGGCAGATGATGTGCCTTCCTTGAATCGTTGCTAGGCCTTTAATTGATCTGAATCTAGCATCTTGAGTGGCTGCACTAGCTCTGTGGTCAGTGCAGAGGTCTTATAGTCCCAAGGCTGCACAGTTGACCCCAGGTTGCATCACGAAGGGTGTAAAACAACTGCCAAGTCTTTCAGGTGAGTTTGCTCATCGTGACAACCTCTGCAGAAAAAAGCTGTTGAAAGGAAAGCATCACCAGCAACCCAGACTTTAGCATCTCTTGTCTAATTTAGAAACCATTTAGGATTCTGTTCATAAGCTGTCTGTGCTCCTGCTGGCTTTAGGAGAGGATGGACTGGGCATCAGTATCATAGGGATGGGTGTGGGAGCTGATCAGGGACTGGAAAAACTGGGAATCTTTGTCAAGACRATCACGGAAGGAGGAGCAACACACAAGGATGGACGGTAAGCATCCACTGCCACCTCCTGCACATCATAAACATCAAATATATATG